TGATGAGACATCATCCGAAGAAAGCTATCACTCCGGCTACGGCCATGATAGCTCGCTGAGGAAGGTCCTGACGGTGTAAGCATCGATCCGACCTTATCCTCCAGGGTACAATGTACACATAATATAATTGTCAGTCGTTCTGCCCACCCTGACACCGTCTTCAACACAGATCCATTCGAAGGAGTCATCCCTCGGAGTGGCCAAGACGATGATCAGAGCTGCTGTTCCGACTACAGCTCGGATACAGAGAATGAATTTCGTTGCTTGTACCGTGGACCCAGCCGGCGTCAACGGGAATCAGCGAGGCAACTGTTATGAAGATTTCCAAGACAAGACTCACTCTCAGTCGAAGAACAGAACCATCAAGTTGCGTTTGAGTTCCCAGGAGTGGCAGATGCCGAACTCACAGGAGTGGCAGAGCCAAATCTTGCAGGAGTGTCGGTCAAGAACCTCATTCCTGATGGAGCCAACACAGTGTATCTCGACAGTGGCAGTTCCATCCGAACTGTCATGAACCAGGACATGATTGTCCGCAAGCGGCTATCTCCCAGACCATCGAGATGGCCACCAATGTTGGAAGCACCAAGCTTACCAAGAAGGGGACACACCTTACGGCAATGGTTATTCAATCCAGGAGGCATCGCCAATATCAACGCTTTGTCTCTTGTTGTGGATGACTGCGTCAGGGCACAGGATGGATCCTATGTCCTCATGGACTCAAGAGTCGACGACGCCATCTACCACTACCGCCCAACTGGATCCATACCAGGTATGGTAGGACTGCCAAAGGTCTGTATGGCGTGTTGATTGAGCAAGACCTGCTGGATCACATGGCCCAACTCAACCAGTTTTCACCGGAGTTCCAACATTTGGTCCAGACGGTGGAGGGCAACCTCGAAGCTTTACCAAGAAGCAAGCCAAGGGTGCATTTCTCGCAAGAATCTGTACCACAACCTCCAGCCCATCTTTGGAGGATACCGCAACATGATCAGGACTGGTCAAATTCGCGACTGTCCCGTCACGCTGGAGGACATCGATCGCGCCGAATTAATTTTCGGGAGCGACATGGGCAAGGCCAAGGGCTCTACTACACGCAGACGCCCGCACCAGTGACCGACAGTATTCATACTGTACCGGATGAGCTGGTGGCACCACACAGGTTCCTGACCGGATGCAGGATGTGTTTTATGTCTGTGAGATTGCCTTTCAGCATTCACTGACTTGCAAATCCGACACGCGAATCAGCCTACCTGACCAACAGGAAAGGGAAATCATTCTATGCCGCCATTGACAAGATTTTTGATCGGTACGGAAATAATGATTTCAAGATCCAAGAAATACAGTGCGACCTGGAGTTCAAGAGCCTGATGGATCCTGTCAAGAACGACATGGAGCTCAAGCTCAACCATGGAGCGGCTCAGACTCACAGTGGTCCCGCCGAACGGAACATCCGAACCTGTGAAGGAGCGCATCCGCGCAGCCTGGCATTCAACCCCGTTCATGGTGATGCCAAAGGTGATGATTGTGGAATTGGTGTACGATGTTAATTGTAAACTCAACCTCTTCCCCGCGCTTGATGGCATCTCTAAAGTGTATCCTCCCGGCAGATCTTGGAGGGTCGGACACACGAGCTACAAAGATATTACAGTAACTTTTGGGAGCTATTGTCTCGCTTCCAACGAACCAGACAAGCTCAATTCCATGGAGCCCCGGCGATTGGATTGCATCTATCTCCGTCCATTGATGGACAACCACCAAGGTGGACACAGTGTGATGGACCTCGTACCTTTGAGGTGATCACGCGACAGCATGTCGCATCCTGCCGATGCCTCGTCAGTCATTGATGCTGTCGAAAAGAAGGATACGGTGAGGGTAAGAAACCACCAATCTTTCACAACCGTGACTTTGTGGAATTTTTACCTGTAGGTTTGCCTGCAGAGTGGATGGTGTCAATGAAATGAGAGCTACCTCAAGTCTATGGAGACTTTCGGACGAAGATTCAGTGAATCCACGGAATAGATGAAGATTCTGAGGAGGGAACGCCCCAGGGCTAGTACAAGGGAATCCAAACAGTATGCACAGACATTGACTCGATGAAGAAGGAGAAGAGGGATTCCAAGGAATCCAACAAGCACAAGTCCAGACAACCCTACAGTTGAAGAGACGGCACCAGCAGTGGATACCAATGATGGAAACCTCGCTGGACCACCCAAGGCTTCCAAGCTTCCTCGAGTTGAATTAGACGCTCAGCTCGATCGCCACAGCCGAAGCAAAAGAAAGGAGTACCTTCGTCCAAGATGACGAAGCGAAGCAACACTACTGTATGAGACAGAGCAAGCAAACATCTAGCTTTGTTCATGGACTCTGTAATCACAGGAGTGCCACAGCAGAAGTCAAGGATGAGAGCAGCACGCCCAACAACATCTTCTACCCAAGGGTCTGAAAGTTGGGGCAACAAAGCCAAAAGGCGGCGCTCAAAGAGATGGACCAGCTACACAGCAGAGTGTGTTTCAGTCCAGTCGACCCAAACAAATGCAGTGATTCTGAATTGAAAAAAGCACAAATGGCACTCATGTTTGTGAGTGAGAAAAGGGATGGCACCGTCAAGGCCGTGCAGTCTACAATGGGAAACCTACAAGGGTGTACCATCAGAAAGAAGATGCCAGAAGTCCAACAGTTTTCACTTGAGGGTTTGATGTTATCCATGTGTGTCGATGCATCTGAAGATAGGGATGTGATGTCCCTGGATGTTCCAAATGCGTTCATCCAAACCCCAATGCCGAAGTCAAACAAGGTGAAACAGGGTCCTCATGATCATTGAGGGACCCTTGCAGACTTACTTTCGAAATTGATCCTGACACATATGCCTCTTTCCTGACATACAAGAAGGACGACCAGTCCTCTATGTGTTGTGGAAAGAGCCATCTACGGAATGGTTTTGGCAGCATTGCTCTGGTACAAGCTCTTAAGGAGCGACCTGGAGGGAATCGGATTCGTATTCAACCAGATGATCCGTGTGTTGCCAACAGGATGATTGAAGGATATCAGCAGACGATACGCTTCCATGTGGACGACCTATGTCGAGCCACCGGATGAAACTGGTAAACAATCGAACCCTGGAGTGGTTCAATGACAAGTACGGTACCTATGGAGCCGTGAAGGCAACCCGTGGTCCAAGACTGACTACTTGGGGATGACGGTGGACTTTTCCGATCCAGGCAAGGTAGTCATTGACATGATTGACTATCTTAAGAAGATGATCTTGGATTCCCGGTGGACTTCGAGCAAATGAAGAAGGTGTCCAGCGCGGCACCTGCCGATTATTCAGTTCTGGTGATGGAGCTGCTTTGGATGACAAGACCAGAGAAATCTATCACACCAACGCAGCCAAGCTGTTGTTCGCGTGAAGAGAGCAAACCAGATGTTCAAACACTGACAATTGTTCTCTGTACACGTGTGAGGAATCCCACAGTTGATGACTGGAGCAAGTTGATCAAGGATGAAGTTCCTGGACCAAACAGTGGAGGACAAGTTGATACTCCATGATGAATCGTCATCACTTGGTGGGTGGATGCATCATTTGCAGTCCATCCTGATTACCGTTCCCATACAGGAGGAGTCATGTCCTTTGGAAGAGGAGCGGTGCTTTTCTGTATCCGCGAAACAGAAGTCAACTCAAGAAGCAGCACTGAACGGAACTGATTGGAGCTGACGATGTTATGTCGCCCATGTTGTGGGCAAAGTTGTTCCTTGAAGAGCAGGGGATCGTTGTGAAGGACAACATCCTTATGCAGGACAACAAAAGCACATCATTCTTGCAGAGAATGGCAAGGCAGTTCGGGCAAAAGAACTCGGGCTATCAACATTCGTTTCTTTTATTCATGATCAGATGGAAAAGGCAACCTTAGATGTGTGTACTGCCCAACCTTGAGATGCGTGGAGATTTTTTCACGAAGCCCCTTCAGGGCAAGCTCTTCCAGAGCACAGGGCTTTCATCATGGGGCATCCACCCTTGTTTGATTGCCTAATTATTTTATTCGTTCCACGTAGCCACTTAGGGCACGTGCAGGAGTGTGTTGGAGGAAACATACCTGACACCTCTTTACTATTGACTCGTGTATTAATCATCTAGTCCGGTTCGCATGTAAATTCATCATGCAAGGAACCAAGGGAGTTTTAGGTCTAAAGTGCTACGGGGGTCCTTATATCCAATTCAATCACAAGAATTGCTATGCACCACAGAAAATCCTCACTTTTTGCTTTTCAGCTTAATCTAAAACCAAATTACTCCCCAATAAGCTGCAGTATTACTAGCAAACAACAACTGGATTTGAACACGACTTTCAAAAGATTCGAATTCTGAAGAATGGAAAAGCGAGATTCCCCTCACCTTTGCAACGAACAAACAAAATTGCTATTAGACGAAAACACGCAACCAGTGTTAGAGGGCTCATTCTCTCGATGCCTGCTGCTTTGGTGGGCTTATTGCCATAGCTTTCCTTCTTCCTTAGACTATAAGGAAGAGAGTAGGTCCTGGTCTTATGCCCGCAGTTCAAGCAGGCATCGAGATTTATTTGGTTGAAGCAGCGAAATCGAAGAATCGTCGCACCTTCTGCAACCTCGAAGAAAGATAACAGGTCGATCAAAAACGAACGAATGCCCATCGACTACACCTCGGTAATACTATTAGACAGCCATCCTGTAGTGGTAAAGGTCTATTACATGGGCGCCGCTTGGATTACAACACACCTTTAGCAGCAGCTGTCGATTCTTTTGTTGTTGTTGTTCTCTCGCGATTCTATCGCGATAATTGCCTTTCCTCGCACCAATATTATTCACAGCTTAAAGCTGGCTTATTAAGAATGGGTGTCCACCTTTTTAAAAAACCGAAGACGCCAGCTACCGGTAGCCTTCACTCTAACCCTAATCGAAACGGTAGTACAAAGTCGTGAGTGAAAAGGGTGCCCACAAACCCCGAAGCTGACGACGACGAAGACACAATGGTCTTGGCCGTGAAGGTATGCTGCGATGTGAATGCTCCGGTCGATGTGATGTGGGACACCCTGAGGGATGTGAAGAATCAGCCAAACTACTTGAGCCGAATTATCAAGGTGGAATTCAAAAAGCGCAGCAAGAACAAGGGGCTGGTCGACGTGCCGCCCGATGACTTTGTCTACGAAGAGGGGAGCCTTTGGATCGAAGAATCTTTGTTTGAGGGCAAACCTTATCAAAGTATAGAGTCCATTACATCGCTGCGAAAGCCAAAAGCAGGCAACGAAAATCCTTCTGTTCAAATCAGCTCTCAATTTCTTGACAAAAAACTCTCGAGGGCCGTGCATATTGGAACTTACACCATCGAGGCAACCGAAGACAAGAAGAAATGTCGCCTCCATGGGTCAATGGGTTTCTTACCGGGTGGATGTTGGGCGGCTTTTGATATGTGGAGACGACGAACACAGATTCGAAACTTTGCACAGTGCTTTTTTCAAGAACAAGTAAATGAGTTTGGAGCCGAGGCTGAAAGGCGTTATGCCAACCCAACCGCCAAATAGGGGCCCAAAGTCATGGTGCAGTACGGTACGTATCCAACTGTATTGTACACGTATTGTGATAGACATCGCAAGAGGCCGAGTGACAGACCATTGCAGGGCATTGTTCTTGATGCGTAGACTCTAGTTACCAGGTGCCGGCCAGCTAAGCAACCATAGATTTCGATAAGTCTATAGGGATTTGAATGCTTCGGGAGGAGATGGCCGAAGCGGTAACCGGTATTGGCACTGGCAGCTCTTTGGTATTGGGAAGCACCACCAGCACTTGACGAATTGATCTTTAAAATAATAAAAAAGTAAATGCAATTACATTATTATTGTTACAATTCTGGCTTCATCCCCCACAGAAGCCTGATCCGTGGCTCCCAAAAGTTCATTATTTACAAATTTATTTCTCCTCCCGGCATTCATTTCCTGGTCTGGCTAGCTTCAGGAAGACTTTTCTGTTGGAAGAGGTTGCTGGTCGTCTTGCATTGGTTGTTCACTAATCATCATCATCATCGTGCCGCCCAAATCCAAAGAAAGACTTGATTTGACTGGAGACCTCTTTCGTCTTCGCAGCCGTATCTTTGCCATCCTTTGAGGCGCCCTGCAGTGCTATTTGGCGCTCCACCACAACCTTACCTAGCTGCTTGGCCAGAGCTTTGTTCTTCTTCATCAAAGGCATCAGAGCACCTTTGCTAATCTCAATCACCTCAACAATGGGAGTGCTGGCCCTCACATTTGCTGTGCGTGGTTTGCCTGTGAGCAAACTCATCTCACCAACATAGTCCCCTGCATTCAGCTGTGCCAAGCGAATTTCAGTGGGTTCTTCGCCCGTTTTCTGTTCTTCTTTCGTGATATCGATCGTCCCCTCAACTACCACGAACATGGAATCCCCTTCGGCACCCTCCTGACATATATACTCCCCAACACTGACATCATAGCGTCTACTTGCTTCTGCAAGTTCCTTCACCTCAGCGAATTTGAGTGAACTAAAAAGCTCAGTTTTGCCAATAACCTCAGTAGTGTCCTCTGAGGTCGCACCTTCAGAAATTTGATATGCTTGCGCCTGTGCGAACAACTGAGATGCCTGAGCTTGTCCAACACGAAAGGAAGTTGAACGCCGCATTCCTCTTCTTTTGTCCGTTGGCGCAGTTGAGGAAGACTGTGAATGTCCTGACGCTACAGAGTCGAAGGAGGTATTACGCAGTAGTTTTCTCTTGTCAGTTGGTGCAGTTGAGGAAGACTGTTTTTGTCCTGATACAGTAGAGTCAAAGGAGGTATTACGGCGCATTCTTCTTCTCTTGTCAGTTGGTGCAGTGGGGGCAGACTGTGAATGTCCTGACGCTACAGAGTCGAAGGAGGTATTACGCCTTAATTTTCTCTTGTCAGTTGGTGCAGTTGAGGAAGACTGTTTTTGTCCTGATGCGGTAGAGTCAAAGGATGTATTGCGGCGCATTTTTCTTCTCTTGTCAGCTGGCACAGAGCTGGAAGACTGTTTCTGTTCCGATGCTGCAGAATCAAACGAGGTATTTCGCCTCATTCGTCTCTTTTCGGCTGGTGCAGTGGTGGAGGACTGTTTTTGTCCTGATGCAGTAGAGTCAACGGAGGTCTTTCTCCGAATTCTTCTTCTCTTGCCAGTTGACGCAGGCGAGGAAGACTCTGATTGACCCGATGCTGTAGAGTCAAAGGATGTATTTCGCCGCATTTTTCTTCCCTTTTTAATTGGTGCAGTTGACGCCGATTTTATAGGTCCTGATGCTGCATTCTGTGCCTGTGCCGAAGCTTCCCTCCCTGTGTTCAATCTGGATGGGAGATATTGTCTGTCCTTCAGAAGGTCATCAGATGATTCACTTTCCACATCCTCTTCTTCGTGCCTTCCAAATCCAAAGAAAGACATGATTTGACTGGAGACCTCTTTGGATCGTTTAGCATGATCTTTGCCATCCTTTGAAGCATCTTTTTGCCGCTTTGCAACAATCTCACCAAGCTGCTTTGCCAGGTCTTTGCGTTTTTTCATAAGTGGCATTAGTGCATCTTTGCTGATCTCAAGGACTTCAACAACCGCACCCCTGGCCCTTGCACTTGCCATGCGCGGTTTACCTGTGAGAAGACTCATCTCACCAAAGTAATCACCAGCATGTAGCTGTGCCAAGCGAAGTTCAAAGGATACTTGGCCCTTCTTCTTTTCTTGTTTGGTGATATCAATCACTCCATTGACAATTATGAACATGGAGGAACCTTCATCACCCTCACGACAGATGTACTCATCAACACCAACTTCATAGCGCTTGCTTGCAGAAGCAAGCGCCTTGACCTCAGAGAAGTTGAGTGACGCAAAGAGTCCACTGTTGCTGATAACTTCATCATCAGATCCTTCTAGATCTGTGGCTTGCGTGACTGGTACAATGTTACGCCTTGACACTGCTGAGCCAAGGTGGAAGAAGCTTTGACGACGATTTAGTTTTGGTGCATCATCATCACTGGAAGAACTTCCTTCCTCTTCTTCCTGCTTTCCAAATCCAAAGAAAGACTTGATTTGACTGGAGACCTCTTTGGCTGCCTTATCAAGGGATGTGCCATCCTTTGAGGTTCCCTGGAGTGCCACTTGGCGCTCTGCCACAACCTTGCCTAGCTGCTTGGCCAGGTCCTTGCGTTTTGTCATCAAAGGCATCAAAGCATCTTTGCCAATCTCAAGAACTTCAGCAGTACTACTGCTGGCCCTCACATCTGCTGTGCGTGGTTTGCCTGTGAGCAAACTCATCTCTCCAAAGTAGTCACCAGCACGCAGCTGTGCCAGGCGCATCGCTGTGGGGTCTTGCCCCTGCTTGTGTTCTTCTTTGGTGATATCAATCACTCCCTTGACAACAATGAACATTGATTCCCCTTCCTCCCCCTCCCGGCAGATGTACTCATCAGGACCAACAGAATCAAAACCGACTTCATGACGTTTGCTTGCAGAAGCAAGTGCTTTCACCTCGGAGAAGTTGAGTGAAGCAAAGAGTCCAGTGCTGCTGATAACCTCATCATCAGAACCTTCCAGAACTGTGGCTTTCGCCACTGGAACAAGATTGCGCTTTGACATCATTGAGCCCCGGAAAAAGCTTTGACGACGATTTAGTTTTGGTGCATCATCATCTGATGATGATTCACTGTCAGCATCGTCGCCATGCCGCCCGAATCCAAAGAAAGACATGATTTGACTGGAGACCTCTTTGGATCGTTTGGCATCGTCTTTGCCATCGGACGATGCATCCTTTTGACGCTCTGCCACAATCTTACCAAGCTGCTTGGCCAGCTCTGTGCGCTTCTTGATTAGTGGCATCAGAGCATCTTTGCTGATCTCAATCACTTCAACAACAGTGCTGCTGGCCCTCACACCTGCCATGCGTGGTTTACCTGTGAGCAAACTCATCTCGCCAAAGTAATCACCGGCATGCAGCTGTGCCAAGCGAAGTTCAATGGAGGTTTGGCCCTTCTTTTCTTGTTTGGTGATGTCAATCACTCCATTCACAATTATGAACATGGATTCTCCTTCCTCCCCCTCATGACAAATGTACTCATCAACATCAACTTCATAGCGTTTACTTGCTTCTGCAAGTGCCTTGACCTCAAAGAAGCTGAGGGAAGTAAACAGAGCAGTGTCGCCAATCACCTCGTCATTTTCAGGTGACTCATGTGTGTCAAGATTATCCACCTGACTAGGCCTACAACCCAGCACATTTGTATCCTTGTTACTTTCTGAGTGTTCCATTCTGCTCTGTCGCCTCCACAGAGGCACTCTGGAATGTCCAGATGCTTTTGCATCAAAGGATGTGCTACGCCGTAGCCTTCGGTTGGTAGCAGTTGTATGTGAGGAGACTCCTTCAGAAGCTCTTCGGGTGGAAGCCTCCTTGGAGACTTCTCTACGAAGCCGCCTTGGTCTTCGAAGATGAGCAGGAGTGTCTCTCTCTAGGTTCAATTCAGATGGTACATATTGTTGGTCAGTTGGCTCCTGAATGTTTTCTGCTTCATCATCTGTGCTGTCGTCGTCATCTTCTTCGTGTCTTCCAAATCCAAAGAAAGACTTGATTTGACTGGAGACCTCTTTGGATCTTTTAGCATCGTCTTTGCCATCGGACGATGCATCCTTTTGACGCTCTGCTACAATCTTACCAAGCTGCTTAGCAAGATCTTTGCGTCTCTTCATCAGTGGCATCAGAGCATCTTTACTAATCTCGAGAACTTCAACAACAGTGCTTCCAGCCTTTACATTTGCCATGCGAGGTTTTCCTGTCAGCAAACTCATCTCACCAACATAGTCACCAGAATGCAGCTGCGCCAAGCGAAGCTCAAAGGAATCTTGGCCCTTCTTGTGTTCTTGTTTCGTGATATCAATCACTCCATTGACAATTATGAACATTGATGAACCTTCCTCCCCCTCACGACAGATGTACTCATCAATGCCAACCATGTGACGTTCACTTGCTTTTGCCAGTGCTTTGACCTCAGAGAAACCGAGTGATGCAAAAAGAGCAGTATTGCTGATCACCTCATCATCTGGTGCTTCTCCATCCCATGGTTTTGCCCTTGGCTTTGGGGAGCTTTTCGCTGAAGCCGAGCCCTTCGAGAAAAAACTTTTGCGTCGGCCAACCTTTGCTACATCATCATCATCAAGCGATTCACTTTCATCCGCAGCTGGCTTCAACCCCTTTGTTGTCCGCCCAAACCAACCTCTTTGCATTTTTCGTTCTTTTTTCTTGCCTGCATTCTCAGAATCAGAGGATTCAAGAAAATCTTCTTCGAAGACCTTCTCCAGTCCTTTGGTATCATCTTCCTCATCAGAACTTTCCTCCCCTTCCTGCCTTCCAAATCCAAAGAAAGACTTGATTTGACTGGAGACATCTTTGGCTGCCTTATCAAGGGCTGTGCCATCCTTCGAGGTTCCCTGGAGTGCCATTTGGCGCTCTGCCACAATCTTGCCTAACCGCTTGGCTAGGTCCTTGCGTTTCGTCATCAAAGGCATCAAAGCATCTTTGCCAATCTCAAGAACTTCAGCAGTGCTACTGCTGGCCCTCACATCTGCTGTGCGTGGTTTGCCTGTGAGCAAACTCATCTCTCCAAAGTAGTCACCGGCGCGCAGCTGCGCCAGGCGAATTTCGGTGGGGCCATGCCCCTTCTTGTGTTCTTCTTTGGTGATATCAATCACTCCCTTGACAACAATGAACATGGATTCTCCTTCCTCCCCCGCCCGACAGATGTACTCATCAGGACCAACAGAATCAAAACCGACTTCATGACGTTTGCTTGCAGAAGCAAGTGCTTTCACCTCGGAGAAGTTGAGTGAAGCAAAGAGTCCAGTGCTGCTGATAACCTCATCATCAGAACCTTCCAGAACTGTGGCTTTTGCGACTGGAACAAGATTGCGCTTTGACACCATTGCGCCCCGGAAGAAAGTTTGGCGACGATTTAGTTTTGGTGCATCATCATCTGATGATGATTCACTGTCATCATCTTCGTCATGCCGCCCGAATCCAAAGAAAGATATGATTTGACTGGAGACCTCTTTGGATCGTTTAGCATCATCTTTCCCATCGGACGATGCATCCTTTTGACGCTCTGCCACAATCTTACCAAGCTGCTTGGCCAGCTTTGTGCGTTTCTTGATTAGTGGCATCAGTGCATCTTTGCTGATTTCAATCAGTTCAACAACAGTACTGCTGGCCCTCACACTTGCCATGCGTGGTTTACCTGTGAGCAAACTCATCTCACCAAAGTAATCACCGGCATGCAGCTGTGCCAAGCGAAGTTCAATGGAGGTTTGGCCCTTCTTTTCTTGTTTGGTGATGTCAATCACTCCATTCACAATTATGAACATGGATTCTCCTTCCTCCCCCTCATGACAAATGTACTCATCAACATGAACTTGATAGTGTTTGCTTGCTTTCGACAGTGCTTTCACCTCTGCGAAGTTGAGGGAAGCAAAAAGTGCAGTCTTCGCAATCACCTCACTGGTTTCAGTTTTCTTTGTTTCCTCGGGGATTGCGGGGATTGCAGGTCCATGAGTATTTTCTGCTGCTTCGCCGGATTGCTGTTCGACGGACAGCTTGGATGCCTGAGCTCTTCCAACGCGAAATGACGCCCGCAACACACTGCCAGAGCTCAACCTCTTGACTTCTAGAGGAACTGGCGCCAAACCACGAAGCGGCGACTTGTTGTGTCGCTTTGATCGGCGCGACTTTCTGCGTTTTGATCCCTGGGAGGGACGCTTCTCTTGTTCTTTATCGACGTCCTTGACGCTTTCTATTGTCTCGCGATCGCCTGCAGAGGGCCCGGCCTCGGACCCCTGAGAGGGACGATTCTCTTGTTCTTTATCGACGTCCTTGACGCTTTCTATTGTCTCGTGATCGCCTGCAGAGGGCCCGGCCTCGGACCCCTGAGAGGGACGATTCTCTTGTTCTTTATCGACGTCCTTGACGCTTTCTATTGTCTCGCGATCGCCTGCAGAGGGCCCGGCCTCGGACCCCTGAGAGGGACGCTTCTCTTGTTCTTTATCGACGTCGTTGACGCTTTCTCTTGTCTCGCGATCGCCTGCAGAGGATCCGGCCTCCGATTCAAGTTCTGTGTCCTCTGCAATCGGGGAGAGCTCAGCATTGGATTCTTTTGAACTCGTTCCTTTCAGCCTCGCCCTTCCAACCGAATTTAGACTTGTCGGGTTCGCGCTCGAGCGTCCTTTCTTTTCGTAAGCCTTGGCAACTGAGGGAATTTGTTTAGGCATTTCACCACCCTTGGAGCGTCTGCTTTTCCGTTTTTCGTCTGCCTTGGAACCGGAAGCGCTCGCACTTGATTTGCTCGAACGTCTTCGTTTGGGCTCAACGCGATCCTTGGAGCTTCTTCGTGAAGATCCTTTGGATCTGGAGAGTGTCGGAGCGGCCTTTCCAGTCTTTCGCTTTTCAACTGCCTTAGTCCCCGAACTGCTGGCACTTAATTTGCTCAAGCGTCTTTGTTTGTGCTCAACGGCATCCTTAGACTTTCTTCTTGGAGGTCCCTTAGAACTTGCGAGACTTTGACCAGCCTTTCCGGTCTTTCTTCCGCTCGTGCTCTTTGTTGCAGACTCTGTCTTGGACCCCGATCTTCTCTTCGCAGGCGCGTCACTGCGCCCCTTGGAATTCGACAAGCTGCCCTCAGCCTTGGGTTTCAATGCTGGGCCCGTTGCCTTTGTCGTCGAGGATCCAGTTGCCAGTGGTGCTCCCTGATCGGCTACAGGAGTTCTAGCTGCGTTGGCGGCATCCAGTTTTTCATCGTTGGCTCTTCCGTGCGCAGCCCAAGTAGAGAGTCCCTCACCTGTCAGTGCTCCTGTGTTGATAGATGACGAAGCTCCAGGAATAATGACCTGCTTCTGGTTTTCCTGGTAGTTCCCAATATCGAGCTTCACTTCGGTAGATTTCCCCTGTGCAGCCCAAACAGCAAGACCGTCACCTGTCTGCGCTCCTGTCTTTTCTGGTATCGAAAGTTCTTTCGCCTTCGATTCTTCTGGCAACAAGGAAGAGCCTTCGGGGGGTTGCCTTGCTGTTGCTTCGAGCGATTGATTCACGTTATCAAAGAACACCCTGTCTTCTTTGGCCCTTGTGTCTTCAGCCCAAAGTGCAAGGGCTTCATCTGTCGAAGTGAGCCGTTCTGTAGATTCCTCTTGAAGATTGGTGCTCTTTGATTCCTTGGCTTGAGCATCCGCTGCCCACAACGCACAAGCTTCGTCGGTTGCAGTTGACCGTCTAGTCTTTGCTTGGTAACCAGGTACCGTTATGGCGAAGGTTCCCATTTCCTTCAGCTGAACACTCACTTCTTCGTTTTTGGGGCCTTCGCCGTCAAAAGCCGGAGGCTCCCAAGAGAAGTCTCCCTGGGGCAGGAAGGGTGCCATCACCTGGACACTCTCTTCTTCATTTTTGGGGCCACCAAAAGCTGGAGGTTCCCAGGAGAAGTTTCCCGAGGGCTGAATATCCCCGGGCTTTCGGATGCCCGCAAACTTGGCGCTGGGCCTTTTCTCTTCAGAATTGAATTGCAGCAGTACCAGCTTTTCTTTGGCGTCTTTCCAGAAGCCCTCGTAGAGGTTTTTGGCGGTCATAGCAGCTTCGCGCTCAGTGTTTGCCTGCGCCAAGCTTGACTCAAGCTCCTTAATTCTGTCTAGTAGGTTGTGTTTTTCAGCTTCCCACGAAGGCTTTGTCTCGACGTCATGGTCGCCATCTCTGCCTGTCGCTTCATTTGTGTTCTGCGTTTTGGGTCCGCCATGTTCGACGGCAGCAACCTGACCAGTCGCCGAGTCTGGATTGGGAACCAGGTTACTCTCCGGTGACAAGATTTTGCAGCTGTTAGACAGGTCTTTCGAAGGGGTTTGTGCCTCAGCGTTTGCCGCCAGATGGCTAGAGGAGCCAATTTGTCTTAATTCAAAGATCGTCGCTTCTGCTCTCGACTTCTGCTGCTCAAGTTCCCTGAGTTTCGCCTTGGATTCCTCGATCATCGAGGATTTCTCCGCAAGAGTCTCTTCGAGCTTTGTTTGGAATGCTGTCAGCTCTTGCTGCCTATCTTTGGCTACTGCTTGCGCTCGTTTTAGTTCCTTCGTCAGGGAAGCATTTTGGCTGATTTGTTTCTTGCGGTCTGCTTTGTAACGAGCAAGCAGATTTTTTGCTTCTTTCACAGTTCTGAAGTTCTTCAGAGCAAGTGCTTTGAACTTGTTCATCCTCTCTGTCAAAGCACTGTTTTCTCTGGCCAGATCCTCCAACCTCCTTGCTTCCGAAATCATTGCTCGTGAATAAGCCTGGACCCTGAACTCAGCTCGTGCCAGAGATTCCTCCAGTGTTCTTCGATCCAAGACGCTATTTTGTGCAACGGTTGATGGTTGGGTTTGTGAGTCTGCAAGAATTCTTTCATGAGCCAATTGCTGCAGCTCTTCAACTCTATTCTCGAGAGTTGCTACCATCTGTGTCAAAATGGCATCGGTGTCGCGTCCAGCTTCATCGCCTGCCACTTCTGGATCTCCGTGGGCTCCCAAAGCGCCCCTTTCAACTGGAACAGCAGCATTCGCACCCACCGCGGCATCCTCCCTTGCCCCAATGTCCACTGCAGATCCTTCCTCGTTATTGTTTGTCGCTCTCTCATCCGTGTCAGCTTCGCTAACGCTTGCCATGGACCCGAGGTCAGGTTCATTTCCTGGCTCGCTTTCTGCTGTGGCTTCCTGACTGTTTGGAATTCTAGGTTCTTCATCGACGGAGTTGCCTCCCCCTCTATTTACACCTTTGGCTTCAGCTTTGGCATCATTTTCGTCTCCCACTACCGTCGACTCGTTCGCTTCTTCGGATTCTTTGTCTGTTTTGGCGCCATCCACACCCTTGGCGGTCATTTCGTCACGGTCGGGGGGAGCATTGAGGCCCTCGTCACCGTCGCGTGTTTCTTCCTCCGTTGCTGGCGCCGTCCGCTGTTGCCACTGAGCTGATGCCTCTTCCGATGATTTCCTTGGTAGGTCCTCGCTGGGCTGTTCTGTTGAGGTAACTGCACTTTCTTCGTCAACGCCAACTGCTTGTTCTCCGGCTTCCCGCGCTTGCGCCCAGAGTATCGCACTCGTCGCCGTTTCTTGCCCAGACTTGCCGATTTCATTAATCTTATCCCAGGCCCTATCAAGATCTCTCTTGTAAGATAGAACCTCGGCTTTCGCCTCGATTAGAACCTCTTCTTGCCGAGCCTTCGCTGATGCGAGTTCGTTGATGTTGCTGGTGAAAAACTTGCACTCTAGCTCAAGGGATTGCTTCTCTGTTTGGAGGCGTTCCACCTTCTTGCTGGCGGATGTCAGCAAGGCGTCCATTTCAGCAACTTCGCCTTCTAGCCGCTTGCAATTCTCCGCAAGGCTTTTGGTATATTCAAGCAGCATCTGCTTTTCTCGTTGGTTCTTTTCCATCAAAGCCTTTTGGTTGGCGACTAGTTGGGCGTCAATCGCAACCCCAGAAGAGCCAGTCTCGTTTTTTACTGGGCTCTGTTGTGAAAGTGTTTGCCCGCGTTTCACTTCATCCTTTGAATCATGTGACTCTACAGGTGCTTCTTCCGGGCTTTCCAGGTCGATCCCCTTTTTCTTGGGTTGACTGACTATCTTAATGCTTCCAGGTATTGCGACTTTCGGGGGTGACAGGTCGATCACCTTTAGCTCGGGTTGTTTGATTATGTTGACGTTTCCTGGCTCTGATATTTTGGGATTCGAACGTGGCAGGTCGGTCGGCGTCTCGCGTTCTTTGCAGATATTCGCGTTTCCTGGCTCCACAGATTTTTCGGTATCCAATGCTGCATCTGCTCCAGTGGAGGTTCTGGCGATTGAATCGACAGTGGCCTTGGACGATTCAGCAACGGAGATCTGTTCGGCACTTTGAGTCATGGAAGCATCCGCTGTGGCATTGCACTCTTCATAGGCACCGGGTATAATTTGCGTTTCAGCAGCGCCACCACCGAGGCACTCTTCAGCTCCTGGAGTTATTGTTGACGCGGTATCGGGTGCAGCATGCAGGCTTGATAAGGCGGGGGACTTCGATCCCTTGGCTTTTCCAAACGAGCTCTCGTCGGGCTCTGGAGTCCTCGTTTTCTCATTAACGCCACTAATAGATGCTTTCACAACGGCAACATTGCCGCAGGCTTTGCCATCCGCGGCGACAGCAAGGAAAGGACTTTTGCCGCTGGCCTCCAGAAGGCCCGAAATGGAGGTATCAAAGGCACCCAACACTATTTGCTGGTCCTCTTCTAAACTGTCCAGGATGGTTATTCGGATCGCGTCTCCATCGCACAACAAACCCAACTCCAGCACCGCTTCACTCCACCTGGGATTCAATAAATTATTTGTGACGTGCTCGGATGTATAAACGGGTGAGTAAACGCCAGTTTTCGTTAGCACCGAGACTTCAAAGAGCAAGTTGGTAGACGCAAACATCCATTTGTCCACTACGATGCCTCCTCCCTCTAGCACCAAAGATAGCTTCGCACTGTGGTCTTCTCTGGTGCCACGAGCCACGCCTTGCCTATCGACACGGGCGTTTGCGACTAACAGATTCCCGAATTGCTGTGCTCCGTCTTGAGAAGCAAACTTCAAACCTGACGTTTCTCCAACAGATTGAAGCAAGTGCTTTACGGTTGTAGTACATGCACCCATACTCAGATGGTTCCCGGATTGGTTGTGATAAAGGGCGATCTGAATTTGCTTTCCAAGGTCACCTCCACAGAGCATCCCAAGATTCACTTCTGCTTCCTTCCAAGCAGGATCAAAGCTGTTCTCAACAGGCTCCGACAGGTACACCCTCTGCCATACTGCAGGATTGCTTGATTCATCTGCACGTGAAACTTCGAAGAAAGCATTGGTCGATCCAAACCATCCTCCCATGTTCAAGAGTTCCTTCCCAACCAAGCTAAGGTATAATATTTCGTCGGTAGTGTCTGGCTTGCCACGAACTAGGGAGAGACTGGAGGATGGCAGCGGTATTTCACACATATCATCCTGAGCATCCCTAGTTGCATGACCCGTGATGGCAACAGGGCCAACATGACCTGGTGGGCTGGGGGAAGTCTCAATTCTATGAGCAGTCGTTCCTTCGACAATCTCGTTATCGACTTGAACATCGGAGACACCTGCATCATCATGGGGACTCTGATCCAGTTGATTGATATTCCACTCGCTCTCTGCTCTCTTTTCCTGTGAGATAGACTGCCCAGAAACTCCAACGGCGTCGCTTATGTCAACTGATAGTAAAGTACGGGGAGCTTGACCTGATGGACTTCCAGACAACAAGGCTTTTGCCGCAGGTTCCTCGCAGGCATCGTGGTTGGCCCGGCTAATCTCTTCCTTAGCTTGGCTGGTTTCATCGGGCAAATCTGTTGGACTCTCTTCACCATACTCAGATCCACTACTGGATGAGCAGCTTGACAGTGAAGAAGCATCGTGGTGCCCGCACTGCTCCAACTGCGCGTTGCTCAATCTTTGTGAGCCGCCTTGTATGGGATGATCTGTCAAATCTGTGCTGTCAGGAGGCAAGCCATAGCCACCTTGGCCTGACTTCGGTAAACCAGTGGGGTCCCCTGTCTTGGTTGGTACCGGTAACGCACAAGCTTCGCCGGAATGGGATGTCGAATCCTCACCGTCATGCTCGATTGGTCCATGGTCTTCAGTGGTTTCCTCAACCTCTAAACCCGCTGTTGCGCTATCTTCATGATTCCGAGACCTATGGTTTGATGAAGAATCGTGAACTAAAGCTGAATCTTGCTGATCAAACTGTTTATTGCTCAAGTCTTCGTCATTGAGCAATACAGACCGCCCGAGCAGTGGAGCCCCATCAAGGGTCAGTTTCTTCTGTCCGACAATGGATTTCTCGCCTTCAATTAAACGGTCTGAGCAGTGATCCAAAGGAGGCGAGGATGTATCATCTTTAGATTGGCCAGCAATATCCAGCGAAGTCATGGCCCAATTCCGCATACTTCCCGTGCCCTTTGCAGGGTCAACATCCCAATCTCTGGTTTCTTGCAAAAATGAATGCTGAAGTGTCGATGCAACACCGCTGCTATCAAGTCGGCTGTGGTGCATCTTCGAGACGTCAACAAGGTTTTCTCGTTGACTTACATCTTCCTCTTGGGTTAACCCCGATCCATTGAAGCTCTGCAAAAGTTCTAGTTCTTCGTCGAGGCTATCGTCGTCGTCATCATTGTAAAAGCCATGCGACGACTCGTAACTCTTTTCACCCGTGGAGAAGTCGTCTTCAACAGTCAAATGGGATCTATGCCGCTTAGAGTCAGAATTAATTGATCCAGATCCATCCAGGGCACGGCCCTCGCCGTCTTGTTTGAGTTCATCTTGCACTTCCTTTTTCTCGGTCTTGACTATTGCGCTTGAAAGGTTTCCTGTAGCAGGAATCCTACCGTCGGCGTTGTATGTGGCTAGCGGGGAGGAACCCAGCTTGTCTGCATCGGCATGTTCGTGTTGAGACTGACTTTTAGAGCGGCCAATCTCTGCCAGCCGCCTGGTTATCAAGTCTGCTTTCGAGGATTGTTGGCCCTTTTCAGGAGGTTTTTCCGCCCCTGCCAAAGGCTTATTTGGCTTCAGAGTCATTATTGGTTTCTGTGGTATCTCATATGCAGCCTGCTTGGGAACATCGACATTGTCAGTATCCTGCACTGCTTTCGAGGATGGCTGGTCCTCCTCGGGAGCTTTTTGCTCCTCTGCAGAAGGCTTGTTTAGCTTCAGAGTCACTATTGGTTTCTCTGGTTTTTCATACGCAGCTTGCTTGGCAAAATCGACATTGCTGGTATCCTGCACTGCTTTCGAGGATTGTTGGTCCTTCTCGGGAGTTTTAGCCACCTCTGCCAAAGGCTTGTTTAGCTTCAGATCCACTGATGGTTTCTCTGGTTTCTCGTACGCAGCTTGCTTGGAAAAATTGACATAGCCAGCATCCTGCACTGCATTGGAAGATTGATGGTCTTTCTTGGGAGCTCTTCCCACCTCTGCCAAATACTTGTTGGGCTCCAGCGTCACTATTCGTTTCTCACAGGCAGGCTGCTTGAAAACCTGGGCACAGGCGATTTCCTGCATCTTCGAGTCGGCGTTATAGCTCTCCGAGGAGACTTTTTCGCTTGGTGCTGGGGCTTGAGTCAACATAAAACCTAAATCCACTGCTGTATCCTTTGCAGAGGCATTTTTCGCTTTGCCAAACTGTCCTTGCTTCGTCGCGACTAGCTTCTCCCTCGCCTCTTCCGCCAGCATTGATCGGTTAGAAAAAGCCGCGTCCTCTCCTCGAGTGCTGTTGGACCGTTCGCGGTTATCGACAAGACTGTCTTCATGATCTCCTACCCCAAGAACGTCAGAGTTGCTGTTCCCCGAGGTCGACCGCATTGTTGTAGCCTCGGAATCTGTAGTGCCGGCCCCAAAGAAACTCTCTAACGGATGCCCGTCACGTAGACGAGCATCATGACTCGCTGAAGTCTGCGCCTCTACTATGGACTCTCCAACGATACCCCACCCAACTAATTTTCCAAGCTCCCCTGCCAGGTTGATACCGCCACCATCATCGTCATGGCTCTCCCCCTTTACGGTTTGGTCCGCATGCCTGCCAACGGCAGCTTCATTACCGGATTCGCTTGCATCGTTTCCTGCTTGTCTATCCGTTACAAACCCCCATCCAACCAGTTTGCCAAGCTCTCCTGCAAACGAGGTTACAGCGTCATCTTCCACGTGATCCTTTACGGGTGCTTGCGAGTCGGATTCAATGATGGGGACCTTGTTTGTGTCTTCATGTCGGCTACCTTCTCCTCGCTTGTAATCGCTGGCGTCAACACGTTCCGCAGAGTTCTTCTCCTCAGACGACTGCTTGCCTGAACCTTCGCTGTCGCTGTTGACATCATGTTGCTGTAACGTTTTGGACGATGGTTCCTGTGACTCTGTGGGTCTCTTCGATGCCACTGATTCACGTTCTCGTTGAATTGCTGGAGAGGCTTCATGTTCTGAGCGCTGTTGTCTCGATGCGTTTGGTTTGTTGTCGTGAACTTTCTTCGAAACATCCTTGAAGCTGGAACGTCCTTCGCTACGCGAAACGTCGTTGCTCCTTGTTTTGTTGTGGGAACGAGACGAAGACGCCATGGGATCATCCCTTTCGTCTCGGTGCTTTGATCTGGATTTCTCTTCTCGCGATGACCCATGCATCGAGTGACTTCGTGTCGATCGATGGCTGCCTTCTGATGAGCGTACATGCGAAGACCTGCTCCTTTTTTCCGGTGACCTTTCCCGAGAACGTTGCGACGATGATGATCTTCGTGAAGACCTTTCATCTGCCATCGAACGACTCGACGAGGACCTCCGCAAGTCATATGGGTCAATGCGAGCCCGGGAGGAAGTCATCGAACGACTCGACGAGGACCTCCGCAAGTCATATGGGTCCGGGCGAGCACTGGAGGAAGAATCTCTGGTTCTTCTAGATTTTTCGGGGGATGTGCGAGACATTACCGCCATGGATTTTCTGAGGCCTTTTACGGATCGAGCGTACGACGCTAGGCTCTCTCTTGGCGTGGGTAGCTCTGGCAAATGTGCACCGGCCTGCACCGAGCGACCTTGTCGAGTACTTGCACTGCATTCGTCCATTTCCTGCTTTTGTGTCTCGTCCACAGTTGAGGAAGCGTCTACAATTGGCTTGGTATGATCTTGATCGTTGCTGGTTGAAGAAACCCTTTCCTTGGACTGTTCTCGTTTGTTTTCTTGTTCGTTTGAAGGCTGCTCTAATGACGGCTCCCCGTTGGTTGTGCCATTGTCTGCCTTTGCTTCATCCCTTTCCTCTTTGGTTGTTGTTGTTTCGGCGAATGACCCCCCTTCGGAATCATCTTCGCCCTCGAGATCTACCGCGAATGAACCATCGCTCCCGGAACTGTAGTCTTCTGGCACCTGAGCATAACGTGCCACAAGAGCTCCAAACTTTTCCCCATTTTCATCTTGCAGGACGAACTCTTTGTCGCTGCTTCTCGAGGCTGTGATTAATTCCCTTACTGTTGTATCAAAGAACCCCATTGGTATCGGATCACCTCCCTCTACTCGACTGTAGACGAATACGCGGAATGATTTGAAGAGGTCACCCTCGCAGAGCAACATCAACGTCACGGGTGCCTCTTTCCAGAATGGAGACAAGGAGTCCTCAATATGTTCTGATCTGTAGACACTTTGCCATATCAGTTTCCCGTCGTTTGGATTTGTATCTGGAATCGTCAGTTGATAGTATGGATTGGTTGTATCGAACCAGCCCCCCACGTGGACCAAATCTCGTCCTTCAAGAGTCAAATGAAAGACATCTTTCTCATTGCACCCTCCAAAGTCGGGTGGGTACTCTAGCAGAACACTGGGTGCAGCACTGCTCTTCCTGGAACTACTTGATCTTCCGGCATTTGTCAACTGACTCTCTCGCCCCCTACTAGAAGAAGCCCCACTGGCACTACTCATGCGCATGGTCCGGCGGGAGTGACTGCTTCGTTTGGAGAGATCATCTCGAGGTGTTTTGATCCTTGCCAGCCGGATGATAAGTTTCCCGTACTCTTCCCCCTTATCCCTTAATGGAGCCGTCTTGGAAGCATCCCCTGATACTTTCAACAAGTCTGCCACTGATGTATCAAAGTAGCCCATCGGGTTGTGCCGGTCTGATGGCTCCCAGTCGTCGCATTGAATGCGAATTGGTTTGTTGATGTCCAAGTCGCAGAGAGCTTTCAAGCTGACCTCTGCCTTTTTCCATCGAGGATTCAGATTGCTGGCAACTTCTTCACTTGTGTGTACTGCTTGGAACAGCACCGACCCAGTCGACGTAGCTGTAGAAGCAAGAAGCGTAAAGAAGGGATCCGTCGAACCAAACCACCCCCCCACATCGACCATGTCCTTGCCCTCCAGGATCAAATGTAATGTGGAGTGTTCATTGTAATCCGAAGCAGGGTCTGTTCCGAACAGCAACATGGCCTACTGAGCTACTAGCTAGCGCTGATGCTGTCCGGCTGCTACTGTCTCAAAGACGTCAACATGTCATGGCGCGTCCCCGATTGCGTAGCGTTGGATCTTCTGTTTTTCAGTTGTCTGTCCTGCCCTTTCCAATTTGCTACTTGCCACTAAGAGGAATCGATTCACTGCTTCTACGAGCTCAGGTTACTAGCTAGCGTAGCCATAGCAACGTAAGGCTAACATAGATGCACAAACAGGGATTGGTTGGTTGTTGTCTTGTTGTTGCATGTTTGTGCTTCCGCGTCCTCTCTCTCTTCACCGGGAGAGGAGCTTCAAGTTCCTCAAATCATTCGTGGCCGCTTCACCTCCAAAATCACCTGGAAGGTCCCGCAAATAATGAAATAGTTTAATTATAATGAATTCTTGATTAATGTGTTGAATGGTGATGAATGGTGATGAATTCATCACCAGTTTGTTGAATGGTGATTAATGGTGATGAAAATGATTAATTCGTGATGACTGGTGATGAATCGTGATGAAAAATACTACTGTTTTACTATACAGATAATGAATGGTGATGAATGGTGATGAAAATGATGAAACCGTGATGAAATGTGATGAATGGTGATGAATTCATCACCAATGTGTTGAATGGTGATGAATGGTGATGAAAATATTTAATTAGTGATGAATTCAATTCCAGATTTTCATGTTTCGCAGGACCTTCCTGGAAGGCCCCTTCGTGCGTGATTTGTATCGCCAAAATGGTCCCGCTTAACCAAAAGTCGCGTGTAAAGTCGCATGCAAGTCGCACGCGAGTCGCGTGAAAGTCGTATGCGACTTTCTCAAACCAAATTGAAAGTCGTGCAAAATTTGCAGTTAACAACAGACAAAGTCGCGTCGAATCTCCGAAAGTCGCGTGTAAAGTCGTATGAAAGTCGTGTGCGAGACGCGTGCGAGTCGTGTGCGACTTTCCACGCGACTTTCAGCGATCCGCGCGACTTTAACAAAAACCAGGCATGAAGGGGCCTTCCTGGCATCAACACGGATACGCAGCACCACTTATCGACAAATTTGGCCCTTTTCAAAGATTAATCGGAAAATTTGGTCGCGTTTCGCCAATCGAACTATCAGCTGACGAAAACCGTAACCTTTTACAGACGAACTCCCACCCGACCCCGCTCGGACTTTTGGAGTCGAGTTGAGTCGAGTCACAGTGCGTCCATGCAAGTCCGAGGGTTACATGAGATTGTTGTTGAATGTCGCTCATGAGGAGAAAATTAAGCCAGCGGAGCTGTGTAACCTCGGCAGAAAGGTTTCAGTGTAGAAGCAGATACCCCTATAGCTAGCTAGCTAGAAGCAGATACCTGTAGTGCTTAGCTAGTGCTTAACTTGTGCTTAGCTAGGTAGAAGCAGACCCCCCCCACTAGCTAGAAGCAGATTCCCATAGCAAGCTAGAAGCAGATACCCCTAGCTAGCTAGAATATTTAGTTATATAGCTTTCGCTAGCTTTAGAGTTTTTCCTGGTATCCCCCTACTAGGATGCATGTAAATAGCTTTAGCTGGTTTTTAAAAAAGCACCATTCTAGGATACTTATTTAGTTTTTGCTGACTTATTTGTATTCTAACCCTACCCTTATACCTGCAGGGACCGCCGTAGCAGGAAAAACAATTAAAGGGGTTGAGGGCTCTGGCAGCAAGACTGCCGAGGTGACACATCTTCTGGTGAACGACCGGTGCTGTACGAGACGCGCCGCATGACACTCCTTCGCCTCTGGCGGTCCTGTCCTACCGTACCGGTATGGCAGCTAATACCATACCACACTTGCCTAGTAGCTGGAATGACTTCGAAACCGTCAGGAGACGACAAGAATCCGTCACGAGACCACAAGAATCCGCACTAAGCTGAAAGAGTACGTGGGCCACAAATTTGGGGTGTTCCCTACTATTTGAGTTACAGTTCTGAGCATCAAACTACCGTCCATGTCAGCACTCAGATTGAATCCGCGGTATCGAAGCACCAGGCACAACGGTTCCACAGCCCAGGCACGACGCCAACAAGTGTAATCTAGGCATCCATACTAAGCTCTCCGCTTGGGCTTCTTGACTTGCTTCGTTTCCTTCTTCTTCTTTTTTGGCTTCTTGTTCCGTTCCGCGATGAGCTTTTGTTGTGCATCTTTCCAAAATCCCTCGTACAGATCCTTCGACATCACAGCAGCCTTGCGATCTTTCTCCAATTGCGCCGTTTCTCGCTCAAGCTGTTTCACTTTGTGGACTAACCGATCATTCTCGGACTTTAGCTGTTTGTCATTGCCCTTGCCGCTGCTTGGACCTGAGTTCGTCTCGAGATCTTCAATCAGGTCATTGAGACGCCGAATCTCATCTTCTTTCTGGCTCAACGATTCCTCCATTGGCTTTGTTGCCCCTCGTGCCTCTTCCAGCTCCTCCAAAACTACATCAAGGTCATCTTCCAGGTCAACAATTCGAGCCTGTAACTCACTGGAATCCTCCGAAGAAGGCTTTTTGCTGCTGGCCGCCTGAAGCTCCGTTCTGGCATCCTGTAGTGACTTCTCCAACGTTTTGTTTGTAGATTCCAGCCTTTTACTCTCTTCCTCAGTCTTCGCCAGTGACTCCTTCACAGTCTCGTGATTTTTGTTGATTGCCTTTAGTTGTGCTTGTAATTCTGCAATCTTGGCATTGCGCAAGCCGACAGCCTCCTTGAGCTTTGGCATGTCCCTCTCTGCAATTTTCACTTTGATCTTGTGCTCTTTCAAGGAGCTCATGAGGTTCGCCTTCAGTTCCAACTGCTTCTTGCGTTCTTCCTTGTATTTACGCAAAAGCACCTTCGCCTCACTCACTGTATTGAAGTTTTTTTCAGCAACTTTCTTGAAATTGTTCATCTTTTGAGTGAGCACCTTGTTTTGCTTCGTCAGTTCAGTGATCTGCAAGTCCTGCTCGACGATTCTCTCCTCGTAGTCCACCAACCTGGCATCCGATTCGATGGCCATTGCCTCCAGAGTCTTGCGGTCTAAACTCTTTCGCCAGTCCCGTGTGTTATTATTCGTGCTGTTGGCTTGTGCTGCAGCAAGATTTTCAAGTCTTCTCTCTAGCGTGGTTGTTTGCTGCGACAAAAGGCTGTTCTCTTGAGTGAGGTTCGTGGAGGTTTCTCGTGCCTCAGCAAGCTCTGCAGAAACCCTTCGGAGTTTGTCTTCTGCATCCTTCACTGACTTTCGAAGTGCTTCCTTTTCGGCATCGTCCTTGGCACTTTTCCGAGCAGAGATTTCTGACTTCTCCTTCTCCAATGCAGCTAGCTTGGCATTTGCATTCGCGAGTTCCTTCTTGTGTACTATGATGTCAGCCTTTGCATCAATCAGGGCAGCTTCAAGATCTTTTCTTGATGACGAAGAACCTGATTCTGCTTTCTCAAGCTGCGACAACTTCTGACTTGCTATCTCGACATCCTTCTGGCTAAGCTTTAAATCAGCCTTAGCTTCAATCAAAGAGGCCTCCAGATTCTTTTTTGCACCTGAGAGCTCTTTCACCTGCTTTTTCGTCTGCGCCAACTCCACTTCCAAGACTTGCTTTTCGGGGCCAACACGCGCAAGTTTGTCATTGACCAATTTCAGCTCATGATCCTTATCTTTCAAAGCATCCTGCAAAGCACTAATTTGCTGCCAAAGATGACCAGAATGGTCTCCGTCATTCGCAGGATCAGGAATATCCCGTGGCCGTCCTCCACTACCTTGCGCTCTTTTCGACGCAGATGGTTTTTTACCTACAGAAGCAGATACCTCCAAGGACAAAGGTTTTTGAAAAACCCTAGCTTCAGGCACAGCATCATCCAACTGATTAGCAATCTTGGGAGCATCGTCCTCACTGCCAGAAAGCTGGCTTCCGCTACCTATAGAGCCCACAGAGCCAGACTCGATTGAGCCACCCTGAGAGTACTGAGACTGAGATCCAGAAAAGTAGCTTCTGTCTCCAGATCGGAAAGAGTCATCATTTGGCGAAAGAACACTTCCTTGGTCTCCATCCAGCTTGTCAGCCACCACCTTGGCAACACCCTCCACAACAGCCTCTGCTGCACCTGGGGAAGCACCCCTGTCACTGCCTGACAAATGGCTGCGACTGCCCACAGAGCCAGACTCGATTGAGCCACCCTGAGAGTACTGAGACTGAGATCCAGAAAAGTAGCTTCTGTCCCCAGATCGGAAAGAGTCATCATTTGGCGAAAGAACACTTCTTGGTCTCCATCCAGCTTGTCAGCCACCACCTGGCAACACCCTCCACAACAGCCTCTGCTGCACCTGGGGAAGCACCCTGTCACTGCCAGAGTGTTGCTCCTGCTGCCAATTGACCCACTCCTTATTGACCTGTCGTCTTGGCTGTACCGGGAGCGTGATCCATCAGAGTAGTAGCTCTTGGAGCCAGACCTTACTGAGCCATCACCAGGGGATCTATTGCTTTGTTGGTCAAGTTCCAGCTGGTCAGCCACCACGTCTGCCACTCCCTCCACAACAGCCTCAGCGGCACTGGGAGAAGCACCCCTGTCACTGCCAGAGTGTTGGCTCCTGCTGCCAATTGACCCACTCCTTATTGACCTGTCACCTTGACTGTAATGGGAGCGTGATCCATCAGAGTAGTAGCTCTTGGATCCTGATCTTATGGACTCATCATCAGCTTTGTCATCAAAGGATCTGAGAGAATGGTCTTGGTTGCTTCCGTTGTCTCTCGATGAATGGGAACGTTGGGATCTCTGCGACCGGTAGGATTGCTCGTCACTATATTGGGATCTGTAACTTCCCGATCCGCGTGACATGCTACCGGAGCGACGAGAATACGAGCCAGAATGATACGATCGTTCGTCGGAGTATGCACTTCTATCGGATCGAGAGTAGTAGGAGCCTTCCTCGTCAGAGTAACTTCCTTCGGATGAATGATAGGACGCACTGGATCCTGCATGGGAGAATGCGTCTTCCAGTGTCAGGCTTTGTTCGGATGCATCGGAACGTTGCGACCGGAATGATCCTTGATTGGCTTCACCCTCGTGCTGTTCCATGCCCCTGCGACTATCGCTGGACCGCCTCGAGTAAGAATCCCTGGATCGGTATGATTGACTCCCTTTTGATCCATACGAGCCACTTCCCCTGGACTGGAAGGATCTACTTCCCTCTGATCGATAGCTCCCCTCGGATCGATAGCTCCCCTGTGATTGATACGACTTGCTGCCTTGAGATTGATAAGATCCCCCGGAATGATACGATCCACTCCCCTGTGACCGCAAGGATCCACTTCCCTGCGACCGCAAGGATCCATCATGTCTGGAATTAAACGATCCACTGCCTCTGGATTGATAAGATCCACTTCGGTACGAACCACTGCCACTGTAGCTTCTGGAATACTGCGAGCCCGAATGCCGTGATCCGCCCGAGTTTTGTGATCCTTCTTCTTCCATAGGCTGATCACCACCGCCAGGTCGTTTGTTACTGACGTTATTTGACATTTTTCGTGGATGTTGTGTGGGTTATGTCTGTCGCGAATTGTTGTGTTTGTGAAATCGGATGCCTCTTGTTGTTCTACCGGTAATTTATTGTAGCTAGCTAGCTTATTCGCGCAAGGACCTCTACAAGCTCTTTCTGTTAGGATTTCTTCCTTGGTTCTTCTATTATATCGTCATAGCACTACGATAGACCAGTCTGTCGTCGGAAGAACGAAGAGCACTTGCTTGATGTTGGGCTGATTGATTGATTTGATTGACCGCGGGATTCTCGTGTTACGAATTCTTGCGAGAGATAAACGGGGTATGGTAGCACTTTGGCTTGTACCGGTATGGATTGGAGAGCAGCCTACTATCAGTAGTAGCTAGAGTGATTTCTTCTATTATCTCATTCGACCTCGACGATTTTACCTTAGGATTGCGTTGATTTGCAAGCACGGCTGATGCATTTTTCATTGCCACAAAGCTTGTTAGCTGCTCTACTTTGCTTTGTTGATGGTTGGCCAAAGAAGCTAAGTGAGAAAAACGGCAACGCTGGCGGCACGAGCTGTCAAGATCTTTGTCGAGCAGCCGCACGCCAAAGAAGACAAACGATCCCGATCCCTATCCATCCACGCTGACCGGCGTGGAAACCTGAACCCTCATGGGTTCTTCGATGAATGACTCGACTCACAGTTGCCAGGACTGGTCATCTCAATACGAATCTACTCCCCACACTTCGCTCACAACACAACAAGTACATCTCTACACTCCACAGGTCATCACCTGCGTTCCTGAAATGGATACCCCACATACATGTCGATTGCCACTGCCTTTTCGCAAGATCCACTCTAAGGCAATAGCACCCCACGAAAACCGCTCACAGATAGCAACCTTGAATGAACACAACACGCAAGACCGGTCCAACTCTCTCCTTCAGCCATTGAACGGTCGATCGCAAGAAGGTTGTCTCCTTCTCTGCTCACAATTCTTCTTTCAGCCGACGCTGCAAGCTAGCTAGAACTAGAATAGATTAACCTCTTGCGTCGGCATCAGGTTCTAAATCTCTTCGAAATCCTCGACCATAGCCAACGCTTTATTCTCTACTCTCGTCGACCGCGGCAACCACTGGGACGTTCATGAGTTTGACTACAACGCTCTTCTCAACCGTGTTGGTGCCAATGCTAACACTGACAGTCGGGCGTCGCAAGCCACACTGTGTGCTGCCGTTACGCGGTCACCCCTCCTCATCGCGTTCGTACTTGACGGTGATGAAGACTACATCCACGTCGGACACTCCCTATTCACCTACCAGCTGACTTCGAACGTGTCTCTCCGTACGACAATCTTTCCGTTGTACTCACTGGAAACGACCTCCACACCATCGCCCCTGTGATCCTTCCTAACGACAGCTTCCAACGCGTCGCCGACACTCGCTGCAAGACCTTGGCTTATCTTGATGGCCCGGACATGTTGGGTGCCGATCCACCGAACCTTCACTCGGGTCCCCATGGGAACGGCGAGGCAGATGTGGACTCCTACCGGTCCCGTCGCCTCATGCCCATTCCGCACTACCTGACCTCACGAGTCCTCACACAAGTGCCTACCGGGCGATACTCTATCACCCAGTTCCGAAACCTTATCCTAGGCCCGGAAATCACACATGCTGATGCTGCCCGACAGAACGCCATTATCCCTCTCGTCCAATGGTTTCGCGCGGTCTGCACCAGCGACGCAAACGGATCCCTCCTTCGCATCACTGGAGAACATTCGCCTCTACCTGCCAATGTCATGGCCCTTCAGCGCTGCATCAATCTCGTCACTCGACCACTGCTCACCGCCCTGGGCGCTACGGGACCTGGACTGACGAACGACACCTTCAACGCCGGAGTAGCCAACATCCAAAATACCCTCGCCAACGTCAACCGAGAACAACTGGATTTCGAACGCGCTCGGGGGACCAAGACCTTCACGTCCAAATTCGGTGTCAACCTGGCCACTCGCGTCCACAACCTCTGCAACGTCGCCGCGGATGAAGACCTTCCCGAAATCCACGGACTCCTAGCAAACTGCACTAAAGGAAGCGACTACAGCACACTGCAATGCCAACTGGACATCCGCACTGCCGGCACCCCTCTCCCCCTCGAACAGGAAAACAAACCCTTGGCCACCGGCCACATCCTTGACAAGGTCTTTCGGAAGTACGAAGCCTCCACCACAGGACAGGTTCTCGGGGAAGGTCTCTCTCCCTTCTCCGTGGTGTGCCAAGGACAAGCGGAGTCCAAGGCGGTCATGGATCTCGCTGCGAAGGCCACACTTGTCGAGCGTGGTCACTCCATCACTCTGCAAGACGCGGACATTCTCTCCACCACCGATGTGAAGTTCCCTATCGACCCTCGGACCGCCGAAGAAAAGCTCTACGGCTTCTCCATCTTGCTGGACGTCTTCCACGGGGTTGATCACGCCATCTCGATCAACGCCCGGAGTGTTGTACGACGATTAGGACCGATTCTCTACACCGTTGCCAGAAACTACGCGGACAAGCCTAGCCTTGGTATGGACATCATCGGCCGTATTCTCTACGACATACAGCAGGACTATTTCGCCTGGGTGAACCGGGCTGTGAACGACCGAACGGTAGTCCCTCCAACCTTCGAGAAGGTCCTGGGACTAGTCCAATCCCATCGATCCTCGACTCTAGCCTCGCTTCCTTCTCACTGGTACTCCCTCATCAAACCTCTCCCCCCTCCTCCGTCCTTCGACAAGCCCGCCGGCACTCACCAACAAAAGGCCGGAGCTCACGGTGTCACCAACGCCCACGGAGACAGTGAACTTCTCAAGCGCTTCCAGTCGTCAGGTCATCGCTCCATCGGGGAGATGACCCGGGGACATGACATTGACATCCCCCAGCACGGTGGTCAGGATGTCTGCTTGGCGTGGGCCCTCAAAGGAAACTGCACCTCATCCTGCAAGCGGGCGGCCACGCACAAGCGCTACCCTACCACTACGAACAACAAGCTCCACGAACTTCTGACCACCTGCGGTGTGGCCAGAGCTCAGGCGTGAGTATCCACGCCCGGGTCCTCGGTGAAGGTGGGAAATAGCCTTCCCTTCACCGTCGCCCCCGTCAACCGACGACAGTTCGGCTCTCCACTTCCTAGCAGCCTTGATGTCCCTCCCTCCGGCCGAAACCGGCGGAGCATTCCTGTCCTCAACATAAATACATCTATTCATCCTTCACAAACACTACACAACAACAACGCCACTCCTTCACCTACTAAGCGCCCTTCACTCTTCAACGACTCGCCCCCGGCGAAGCGTCCTTCACCTTCAAATTCACGCTCCCGTGAAACACCTAAAACTACTAGCACTACCGTTGACACCAGATCCGTCCGAAACGATCGTCTAGGTACGTTAGTCTCTAAACTATGTCGCGATTACTCCCAAGCCGAGTCCTGGGAGTCCTTTGTCACAAACTTCCGAGGTAGATCCTACCTCTCGCCCGAACTGGAACAAGTCGATCATCCAGCCATACCTCTGCTCACCGAATGGCGTGACCACGGGGTCCCCGTAAACAACAACTCCCCTCCTTGGACCGCCGAGCAGAAGGAGGAATGCATCCGCCGTGGGTGTCACAAGTCTGCCACCGAGCACTCCGCCTTCCTCCGAGAGGAATTCTCCGAATTCATCACCAACAAGTTCTGGGTAGTCCTACCCTACGACCTTGTCAAAGATGAACCATCCCTGCTCCTATCCGCCGCCGCGGTCAAGGAAGAACGGGACCGAAAACCTCGTCTCATCAGCGATCACTCCTGGGACTGGGGATGGCCCTCCGTGAACCAAACCACGGTCCATCACGCTCCTCCCGAGGCTATGCAATTCGGCGGAGCACTCCCTCGAATCCTCTATGATGTTCGTCACGCAAACCCCAAGTTTGGCCCTGTTCGCCTCTGCAAGCACGACATCAAAGACGGCTTCTACCGCATGTTCCTGAGCCTCGGATACTGCATCGGTCTCACACTCGTCCTACACCCTCACATATACCGGGTAAGGAGAAACCCCACCCTTTCGCGTTATTAGCCGCAATTCCCGCAGTGAGTCTGTCCACCGACATGGGAGGATGCGGTCCCAAATCCCACTCCATACATTCAGCAACTGGTAGCCATTCCCGGCGATTGTCTTATCGTCCCCGAAACTCGCCATGTGGGGTGGGACCGGCGTGCCCGACATACCACTCCTAACCATCCTTCCGCGATTCTGCGCAAATATGGTCCCGACTCAACCGACTCGCCTGCTCGGCACTCGTGTGGCCAACCGCAACACCGCACTCCGAAGAGATTCTCCGCCTCTGATCCACCAGGTTCACCCAGTGACCTGACCCGCTCTCCGATTGACCCTCCACCACCGCCACCGCACCCCGCGTCCCAGAAAGAACCCGAGCTCCCTGAAAGCCACTCCTCATGCCCCTCCTGACCAATGCGGCCACGGAGAATCCCCTCGAGCTCTGGCGCACCGGCGTCCCTTTGCTCCGCCCGACATCGTTGGGGCCCGCCACGGCCCCGCACCGACAATACGTCTCCGGAACGAGGTCTGGCTCCCCATCCACAGCAGCCGCTCCCCTGCTAAATCCGCAGCCGGGCGAATGATGTCCTTCGCCTTCCGACGACCTCTAACACTCTTCAATACGTCGCGCAGGGAGGCAAATGAAACCGGTCGCAGTCCTAACCAGTAACAACAACAGTTAAACCGGCTTCGCTCGCTTGCGATCGTCCCTTCCACAGTCCAATTCGAGGCCCGGATTGATACCTACCTGCTCCATCGTCACCAAACCTCGCCTGGGAACGAAGAAAAGAGCATCGACAAACGAAAGCCGTATCTACCTGTGAAGTAACATACTACTAAATAACAGGCGTACGCGCAGCTAAGTGCTCCGCCACCCGAAAAATCATCCTCGGCTGGATCATGGACACTCTACGACAGACAATCGAACTACCTCCCCATCACAAGGAGGCTCTCGCGGCAATCTT